CACTATTCAATAATTGGTCATTCATGATCAATAAAAGCAACTGAATTCTGTTAAGTTGACAAGCCCTCGAGGCAGTTAGCTTGAAGTACTGAGCACCACGCTGGATATATAATGCCTCTTTGCAAACACATAATGGGTTTTGACTAGAACGTTCCTAAAACTATCTCGTAGTCGTACTTTACATGCCTCATTAAACACACTTTCCATGCATCGTTTCTTTTCCCGTCACCTGGATCTTTCTTGCCGTGATGCTGCCGTCCATTCCTTTTTATCCTGTACTTTCTTTGCCAGTCTGGTCTTTCCTTCCCAGTTCCTTGCCCAGCCATGGAGCTTTGAACAGCTGCTCTTTCCTCGTGGCATAAACACTCTCCAGTTCTCCTCCGCTTCAGCTCCTTCTTTATGCTTCCAGATTGGGCACAGGATACGCCAGCTGTACAGCGCGATATGTTCCTGTCAGCTATAGACGTTTTTCTTTATCATCCTCCAGAATAGCAACTGCTTCCTATAACACTGGTTTATGATTAAATGGAATTGTGAAACTTGCCTGCAAGAGAGACAATGATTCTGTGTAATGATCCTGCCACAAGCTGCATTTGGGACTTAACCAGGTAGTGTTAACTTCCTGTTCTTTTGAATCTGTGTAGCCAAGCTTCGAAGGGAAGATTCCACATGTATTTATGCATATCAGGACCTTCTTGCTTGTGGCATTGAAACTTTGGAACTCCCCGCAGAGGGAGATCCATCCTTTTTTGTTGGCTTTTGCCAGCAGGTGAAGACTTTCCAGATTTGGTTGGTGTTCCCTCATTAACTCTTATTAGCCCTCCTTCCCTGTCTGTATGTGGATAGCAAAGGCTAGCCCGAACTGGGAAGCTAAGCAGGGTTGGTCCTGCTAGCATCTGGATGGGCAACCTCCAAGGAATACCAGGGTTGTGACCACTGAAACATCTTGCCTTAAAAACAAGTTTTTAAACCTAGTGCTGCATAATGCTAAAAGAGCTAGAGCTTCTAGCTGCCAGACAATCTTAGGATCTCCTGGCTATACCACACACACTGCCATACTATAATTATAATAATTACTGTACGTTTATATGTTTTTGTTTTAAATGTTTTATATATATATCTTTGTATTTTAAATGCTGTTTTAATTTTGAAATGTTCCCTGCCTTGGTGACCCTGAACTGGGGGAAAGGTGGCATAGAAATGTTTTAATTAATAAAATGTTCTCTGCCCCAATCACATGTAAAGTGAGATCTGGGGGACTTTTCCTCAGAAAAGTAGCTGGAATTAAACCTTCCTCTTCCCCTGTATTCAGTTAAGTCTTTAATCTTTACATTTGAAGCATTTTTATGAAACCTTTATCTTTTATGAATAAATAAATAAATCCCACTGAGCTGTGGCCTCTCAAGTCTCTGGATAGGAGGCATATAATAAACATTTAGGTGGCTTTGGGTGATGTAACAAAATATCTATTTTATCTATGCCTTTATTGCATTTTCATCCCACCCTTCCTCCACAGAGCTCAGGGTTCTACATAGTTCCACCCTCCACCATTTTACCCTCATGTGAGGTAATTAGTAGGTTAGACAGAGGGAGGGAGGGGGGCCAAAGGGGCTGGCTAGCATCAACTAGTGAGCTTCGTGACTTTATAGGCAAATTAAACTTGGGTCTCCAGTTTTGTAACCACTGCACTGACCCTTGTGCTTGTGTCAATGCACAGAAGGATCCTCAGGACAGCTTAGCTCAACACTGATGACGTGTGTAACCCCCTAACTCTAAATACCTTGTTTAATTGGCCAGTGGAGTGGGACTGGAGGGAACATTTGTACACAGGCCCAACTTTCTGACTAGCCAAGATCTACCCCTCCCTGCTTTCCACCTACCCTAAAATAACGACCAGAAAGAAGAAAACTCAGCTTTCATTCACTGAAAACAGCTTGAAGACTGTCCCAGCAAGGGGCTTTCAAGAAGTACTAGGAACACTTAAATTTTGGATCAGCTAGAAATAATGCAGAAACAGTGATGTTCCAGCCTTCCATTTCCTGATGCACTCATTTAGCCTCCCCCCATTGTTTCACCATTCCCAGGAACATGATGGGAGTAAAAGTGAACGATTATAAAAAAAAAAAATGGTACACCCTCTTCCACATGCAGAACTGCCAACTATGGCAGAAAGGCAACTTACGAGGTCAAACCAATATTTCCATTTTAAGCATCTGTACACTCCCCTTCCCCAGTATATCTGTTTGTGCTTAGAACAGCCTTTTGATGTTTATTATTTAGCTATCTATACCCTGACTGTTCCCTGGAAGGCCAGATAATGAAACTGAAGCTAAAATACTTTGGCCACCAAATGAGAAGGGAGCAGTCACTGGAGAAGACCCTGATGCTGGGATAGATTGAAGGTCAAAGAAGACGGGGACGGCAAAGGATGAGATGGTTAGACAGTGTCATCGATGCAACGAACATGAAGTTGAGCAAACTTCAGAGTATGGCAGAAGACAGGAGGGCCTGGTGGGATCTGGTCCATGGGGTCGCGAAGAGTCGGACTCGACTGTGCGACTGAACAACAACATCTATACCCTGGCTTTCCTCCCCAATAGGAACCAAAGTGGCTTACAACATTGTTTCCCCCTCCATTTTATCTTCACAGCCATTCTGTGAGGCAGGTTATACTGAGAGCGAGTGACTGACCCCAGGTCACCCAGCAGGTTTCCACGGCAGAGTGGGGATCTGAACCTGGGTCTTCCAGATCTTGGTCTTACTGCTACACTACACTGTCTCTCAGAAATTGGAAACATGGGCTTTTGACTCACTGTTCCCACAACTCAGCTGCTCCATTTATTGCTGTCTGGAAGGATGCAGAGGGGAAGCTATTGCTTAGTGGAACACCAAATGCAGTGAGAGTTCATTCTCTTTTCATTCACATATTTTGGCTGCTGAATTTCAGGACTGTTTAGATACAGTCAGGGGCACGAACGGTTAATCTCAGATGGTACCAAGGTCACTCAGGAGTAGGGGGTCTGAGGGAACTGGCCATTAGGTGGAAACCCAGTGGGGTGCAGTGGTTAGTGTTGGACTAGGACCTCGGAGACCCACCTTAAAGTCCCCAACTCTGCCATGGAAACTTTTGGGGTGACCTTGGACCATTGGCATGTTCTCAGCCTGACATATCTCGCAGGGTTGTTTTGTAGATAAAATGGAGACGAGAAAGGCAGAGTATATCTGAATAAAATAAATAGGTAGAAAGCTATGCAAGCACATGACCCCCTCCCCAGTGGATTTTGTCACACAGCTTTACACACAGCTCCTTGGGAAATGGAGAAGGAAGATGGAACTACCCGTTTTTGAAATACATAAGCTCTATCCACTTGACTGTGTAATTTGTCAAAGCTTGTCAGTGCTAATTTCTACAGGAGGTTACACGGAACGGTAAGAGACAGGGCCGCTATACCAAGGGATTTCAGAAAAACTGACAGCAACTAATTTGCATTATTTGCTAAATCACTTATAACAAAATGAATAATCTGTCACTTTAGTTTGTCTGCATGACTCAGTGAACACAGAGGTAAGCAGAGGAACGTTTGGGAACAAGAACGGACAGTATGGCTGTCAGGATCCTAGCAAGGTAATCTGCTGGTGCAGATAGAAGCTCTGTGCTAAACAGCCACTTTGATGGCTCACTTCTTTAGCTACGTATTGGCAAAAGCAGGGGACTGTGCTGTCTCAGTTGAATTGGTACTGAAAGCAAGGCAACGGGAGAACAGTCATGAAGCTCAGCCAAATTTTGCCAATCCGCTACAACTTACCTTATTGTTTTCCTTGGTTAGTAATATGATGTGCCAGACTGATGGCAGCAAGATCATGCCCAGGGACAGAAGGTTTAACTCAACAGGTTCCCAAACTTATTTGGCCTACCACCCCCTTTCCAGCGCCCCCCTGGACATCTATTTTCAAGAAGTGGTCAAAAAGATGCAGTTTGTGGATCTGCACCTGGATCGTTCCAGCACACCTGGATCATTCCAGCACACCTGGATCGTTCCAGTGCACCCCTCAGGGGGCAGTATTGCCCACTTTGGGAACCAGTAGTACTGAATGTTTCACCAGGGTGAGGTCCAGGATGCAATACCTCATTGTCCTGGAACTTATGCAAAGGACTGATCTATATAGAATTACACGTGCTTAAGATCATTGGGGGGGGGGGAAGCAGCATGGTGTAGACCAATCTCGTCAGATTTCAGAAGCTAAGCGGGGTCACCACTGGGAAAGGAGACCAACAAGGACGATGCTGCAGAGGAAGGCACTGGCAGGCCACCTCCGCTTCTCACTTGCCTTGAAAGCCGCTTGCTGGGGGTGCCCTACATCAGGTGCAACTTGATGGCATTTTACACACACGAAGGATCACTGGCTTGGATCCTGCAGAAAACTTCTGCTGTGTGTGAGTTTGACCGGTTCTCCCCTCCTGACACAGTACCCTTGCCCCCCCCCCCATTAATGGCACTTTCGGCTCCTGTGGGAGCAGGGAGGCAAGGAAGTCTCATTCCGCTGAGGGAAATCCCTTCCATCACCAGAGGTTTAATGTGGGCTCCAAACCATTCATTTCAATGGATTTAGGCATTTATAACTCTTCCTATAATTGGGCTGTAAGGTGCAGATCTATGCATTTATCTGGGATTCAGCCTCAAAGGCAACGTACTCCCCAAGTAAACGTGTACAGGATTGAGGTGTTAATCTCAAAACAATTGCGCTGTAAAGTGCAGATCTATGAATTTATCTGGGATTCAGCCTCAAAGTAAATTTACTCCCCAAGTAAATGTGTACAGGATTGAGGTGTTAATCTCAAAATGATAATTTTTTTGGGGGGGGGGGTTACGCTGGAAAAAAATGTAGCAAGACTTCATAAGGTTCTAAGGCAACACTTTAATAAATTAATAGGCATGCCCAATAAAAATACAAAATGACAATTTAAAAACAATCACAAACCCATCCTCAGTCGTTCGGTGTCGCCCTCTTCAACCAGAGCCATGAGAAAAGGCATTACCTAAAAAGTGGCAATCGAAATAATTTTTGGCACAAGAAAATGTACTACCAAAACCCCCCAAGAGGTTACAGAACCTAAGATGAAATTATCCTGCAGAGTAGGAAAGAGAATGATACACAGTGGATGAACAGCTAGAGGCTCTGCTTCACCGCAGTCTTCTTCCCTCTCTGAAACCTATACAGAACATAAAAAACGAATCCACAACAGAGTTACACTGTGAAACATGCCAAAGTACAACCACAGACTACTCCAGAGCACAGATGCAGTGCTGTTCTTGTGTTGTCCTTTGTAGCAGAAGCCACGCCAAAGTGGGACAGCGAGGAGCAGATCATACAAGCTCGAGTTTCCTGTACCCTGAAGAAACACCAAAACTACTAGGGCAGGAAAGCAGAGGATGTCTTTAACTTTTCCCCAGCATTGTCTGGAATGGAGCCACAGAAGCAACGCCATTAAGCATCTTCCATACAACAACACCTCACACTAAGGAATTCAGCTACACCAGCTGGCTCAATTACTTCCAAATATTCCTTCATCATCCCCGGAAACTTTTTTTTTTGCCAATGTCCATTTTTTAAAACCACTCTCGTGCACGCACCACCTCACAAACAAGTAGTTCAAAATAAAATATCTTCGTTCTTTATAAGCATCTCCACCACAAGTCTCTGGTAACGGATGTCGTTCAAGGCAGCCATGGCGTCCAGCTCTGGCGCTCGCATAAGCGTCGGTCCAAACACAATGCCGAGGTTTTCTGCATTCATGAGATTCTCCTTTTCATGAAGCGTTACCCTGTAACAAAGGTGGTTACGGTTGAAATCAGGAATATGGTTAGCAACTCCCTTGATCCCGTGAACACAGAAATGAAAACTCGAGATGTTCAAGTCAAAGTCAGTTTCGAACAAGTGAATTGTCATGGCTTCCTGAAAAGAATCCGGCAGTCTTTTGCTTGGTGAGGCTGCTGAGAAGATAGTGTTAGGGATCCTCAACCCCAAACTACCATTCCCAGGGTTGCTTAGATGGGAATGGTGGCCACCAAGGCTTGAGGAAAGGCTGCTCTGTAAAGCAGTAGCCATAAGGTGGATTGAGGGTGAAGCTGAGGTTGTCACCAAGGTAGTTAAACCCCATGTTGTCACCTTACAAAGTTCCTTTTAACTTGAACTTTTGAACTATAGCCCTATTCAGGCATTCTTTGTTACAAGTTGACTTTCTTCCAGTCAGCTTTAGTCTGGCCTTCTTGCCACACTCTGGTTTGGAGTTTACTGTTCCTTCGCTCAGCCAGTCTGACTCTCACTGAGCTGAACAAACAGTTTTCAGATGTCAGCCTCTCACCACCATTCTGTCAGCTCCCACTTGTGGTTCTTAGAGAGAGGTGGAACCTAACCCGTCCATCACAGGGTGAGGTGGCAAAACAAGAGGTGGTAGTTGGAGATCTGTTATAGGAAAATGAAGAATTAAGGCTCAGCTCACATTAATTTGAGGAGAGACTGTGGCTCTGTGACAGGGTTGAATTCCACGTTCAGTCCCTAATATCTCCAGATTCAGAGGGAGCACACTTCTGGAACCCAGTACTAGGAGACAGCCTCAGGAGACGGCCTAGGCCTCTATGCTTCTATGGCAAGTGTTTGGCCACTGTGTAAAACAGAAGGCTGGACTAGGTGGACCACTAGTCTAGTCCTGCAGGGCTCTTCTCATGGTCTCCTCCAATTAAAAATCACAACTTCCTGGTGTTGGGAAAGATCTCTCCCTGCCTGACTATTTTAGAGCGGCTGTCTCTCAGAGTAGAGAATACTGATTTGTAGAGACCAATGGTCTGACTTAGGCTAACATAGCTTTCCTGTGATCACATATTGCACCATATTTATTTCTGTTTAAATTTTAAGAAGTATTTAAAAGTTTTGGTATCACCAACAAGTGCCGAGATAACTGGCTGCCTGCCTTTAAGCAGTTTGGGCGCATCATCCCTTAGTTAATTATGGGCTAAGAAAGTGGGGTGCAGTGCTTAGAGTGTCAGACTAGAAGCTGGAGACCCAACTTCAAATCCCCTCTCTGCCATGAATTTCACTGAGGGACCTTGGTCCAGTCACTCTCTCTAAGCCTAATCTACCTCACAAGTTTGTAGTTGTGAGGATGATGATGAAGAAGAAGACTTGGTTTTATATCCTGCCCTTCACTATTCGAAGGAGTCTCAGAGTGGCTTACAATTCCTTTCCCTTCCTCTCCCCACAACAGACACCCTGTGAGGTAGGTGGGGATGAGAAAGCTCTGAGAGAACTGTGACTGACCCAAGGTCACCCAACTGGCTGCATGTGGAGGCGTGGGGAATCAAACCCGGTTCTCCAGATTAGAGTCTGCTGCTCTTAACCACTATACCACACCTGGCTCTCTGGGGAAAACAACCCAACATATGCTGTTTTGAGTCATACAGAGGAAGAACAGGATTAAAATGTACTAAATTAAATACATATTATGAATTATCTGGGCATGTTGTTATTGCTTAGTTTACGCCACCCCACAGGGTTGTTGAGAGGTTATATGCCATTACAGATCCTGTAGGCTGCAGATACTTAAGGGAATGTGGCCATGTGCCTCTACTCTTCCCAATTTGCTCTATTCATCAGATAAACAATAAAATGTAATATGATGGCTCTGGATAGCAAATAATTGTGCCACCTAAGGAAACTTCAGCTAAAAATACCACATATAGTTGAGAAATGTTTATTGTAACAGATGTACACATTTAAATGAAGAAGGAGAAGAAGAGGAGGAGATTGGAGTTATACCCCGCCCTTCACTCGGCGTCTCAGAGCGGTTTACAAACTCCTTTCCCTTCCCCTCCCCACAACAGACACCTTATGAGGTAGGTGGGGCTGAGAGAGCTCTTTTGAGGACTGCTCTTGAGAGAACAGCTCTGAAAGAATTTATGACTGATCCAAGGTCACACCAGCAGCTGCATGTGGAAGAGTGGGGAATCAAACCCTGTTCTCCCAGATTAGAGTCCATGCACTTAACCACTACACCAAACTGGATTTATACCCTGCCCTTCACTACCTGAAGGAGCCTCAGAATGGCTTACAATCTCCTTTCCCTTCCCCTCCCCGCAACAGACACCTTATGAGGTAGGTGGGGCCAAGAGAGCTCGTTTGAGGACAGCTCTTGAGAGAACAGCTCTGAAAGAACTTATGACTGATCCAAGGTCACACCAGCAGCTGCATGTGGAAGAGTGTATAATTAAACCTGGTTTTCAAGGCAAGTGAGAAGCAGTGGTGGTTTGCCACTGCCTTTCTCTGCACAGTCTTCCCTGGCAGTCCCCTCATTCAAGTACCGACATGGCTGAGCTTCCAAGATCTGACAAGATAGGGCCATCCCATCACATCCAACATTGCTATATTTCACTAGTGATACATCAAGAATGACTCTCTCCTTTCTCCAGCTGCTGTTTCAAGGGAACAACCTACACACTACTGTCTTGAGAAGCTTTCCTTTCCTTTATGGCAATTAATTATCTCTCTCATTAGAACAGATTTCCATTTGTAAATTAGTTTGTGAGCAGATTATTTTTTTTTTTAAAGGGTCTAACATGCATTACTGATTTATAACTGGAAATAAATCTCTTTCTGGATACGCATAATGGATTAAATATCCACTGCTGGGTAACTGATGAATTGTAAAAACAAAACATGAAAATTATTTCCCCCCATTAAGGCATGATTCTGTCTCCTGTGTGAAGTAAAACCCTTTCAGATATTTGCAGTGCAGTTAAGAGCTGCGAGTCAGTGGAAGTTGTCTGGAAGGCGTCCAAGCTCAGCAGCTTCTATTTATAGAGACTCCAAATATACTAATTTGCTGGCTGACCAAACAAAATGGAAAACAAGAACTCCATTAACGGTTCCCTCGCCACAACAGCTCTTAGTAAGCCTGCTGATAAAAAGATAAAAGTCGCCATTAGGTTGGGCATGTGAAGTGAATCTGGCGAAGGGAGCTTTGACTCCAGATCGTTACAGGTAACCTTAAAAACCTTGACAATGGTGGTGTGACTGCAAACCACAGGATTTACTGGGGCCAGAGAGAAAGTGTCCCTCTGCAATAAGCCATCTCTTCTAGTTTAGCTGACCCAAGTCAAACAAAACCTGTCTTAAGCTTATGTAAAAGTTGGTTGAAGTTACACATGCGCATGCACACACACACACGCAAGTCAGTTTGATGTTCCTAAGTCCCATACCTTTTTAAATGTGCCATGAGATACCGTAACGTTTCACAGTGTGCTGGCGGCAGCAGTTTCAGTGCTTCATGAAGTATTTCCAGCTGTTCGTCAGGATCTGTGATTTCTGAAACAGGATCACCGCATTTAAGCTTAAATTAACAAAAGACTCTTCTGAAGTGCAAGGGACTGCATTCCATTTTTTTTTTGTCAATGGAGTTCAATTGTTATTTATTTGTTATTTAAAGCACTTATAATGTACCACTGGAAAAGAGCAAGAGTCCAGTATCATCTTAAGACTAACAAAATTTGTGGTAGGGTATGAGATTTCGCGAGTCACTCACTTCTTCAGATGCAGCAGGGACTCACAAAAGCTCATACCCTGCCTCAAATTTTGTTAGTCTTTTTAGCTGCTACTGGACTTTTGCTCTTTTCTAGTACTAAAGACAAACACAATCTAGCTTGATAATGTACCACTGTATAATATATTGCGGTAGCTACTTTTGTATCCAACTCCTGCTTTAAACAACGTGGTGTTTCGAATTGAGTAGGCAGCTTTCTTTTTGTTTTAATCTTAAGGCTAGAATTCTATAGTCATTTCAGTGCCACTGATGGAATTCTGCAAGATGACTGGCTGTCCTACACGCGTTGTCTTCAAGCACTGGTAGTAATAGCCTCTCTGACAAAGACGTGTATTTATATGGAATAGGACTCAGCATCGCACATTCCATAACTGAAAAGATGTTTTCTCCTGACTTGAAAAGCGACAGCATGGCAAACCACTTTGCATGTTACCCGTTATCCCCTTAAATTGCAAGTAAATAAAACATATGGGAAAATTTAGCAACATAAAGCACTAATCGGAAAAACAAAAACTTCTTCTGGGGGGAAAAATGTAAAACTCACTTGCAGACTCCATAAACTTTGGGTAGGCATCATATGTGATGAGAGGAATCGGCAAATCCCTGAAGTACAGTTTAAGTGCACCTGTGATAATATTGATATCTTCATATATATTCACAGAAATGTCTGCTTTTTCCCCATCTGTGCAGGAAAAAAAGGGAGGGGGGAAAGGAAGAATGCAGAAAGATAGGCTAGTAGCAAATGTGAAAAGTTAAAGCACCATATTTTAAGATCCAATGCCGCCATAGTCGGTACATACGATACATATACAGGATCACATACTGGTTAATATGGGATTGCCATTGGCACACTGCCATTTGTCTTCCCTCTACCCCATATTGTGCTGTTTTCCCTCAAAAAGCACAACATGGGAATGTCACGGTAAACTTATTAGTAAAAACTGAATGGAATAACAGGAGGCTGGAAGGCAGGAAAGGGGACAAAGGGTCCCCCCCGTCCTCAATGGCAAACTTCACTCCTGGGGAAAAACACACACAGGCTTAGGCAGTTATGCTTCTTGAACGACTCCTGCGCCTCCCAAGGTGAGGCGGAAGTAATAACTAAAAACAAAATCTTCATGTCGTTTTCTGTGTGTGGAGATTTTTGCGTAGTGAACTCCTTCCTTTCACCACCCTTAAAAAGACACCTGCTTACCTCCCCACTGCTGTATGGAGGGCTTTCCCCTGCTGCACGGCGGGGGACTGAGTTCTTATTCAAGGATTCCTAAATAATCATGTTCTTTATAAGCCTGTGGCGAGTATTTCTGATATGCTAACATGCTATTCAAGACAAAGACCCCCATGCTGACATTGCTGAAAGATTCCTCCATCGTTATTTTCCTTAAGGAAAAGTGTTGTGTCTGCTGACTGCCACAAGGGCCCAGCAAACACTCCAGAGCTTGACTCTGGAGTAACAATAGGGACTAGGCTCCTGGTCTCTCCACTGGGGGACCAATGGGACCGTGGCGGGAGATTTAAACCCACCAACGGGACCTAGGGGTGTGTCCCCGGGTATGTATATAGTTGGCCAGTCGGCCGTTTGTCTTTGTTGTATACCAGTAAACCATGCTGATCGCTACATCGGTCCCAGTGGTTTCGACACGCGTTCAACCCACTACACAATAAAAAGTTATAAAGACTCTGGAATTTTTCATGTTATAAAGGCCTTTTTCAAACTAAAAAAAAAACAAAAAAAACCACACCAGCCACTCTCCCCGACCAAGGCCAGTTCATCCCATGCACTGATCACTTTTGCAACAGCTGGGCTCTGGACAACTAGTCTGAGCAGCAGACCACCTTCCACACCTCAATTACCTATTGTAAGCGGCTTTTGAAAACAGTCTGTTTCAGAAGTGATTTGCCGGGGGGAATTTATTTATTTATTTATTTCATTTGATTTTTATCTCACTCCTTCCCTGGCAGCCTGGGCGGTCAACAACTAGGGTTGCCAGATGCCCCCAGTGGAGGTAGGGGGGTTCTCCACTGCCAGGCCCTGCTCCTTGCTGCCAACCAGCTGGCCAGCAGGGGGATTTACCAGGAGAAAGAGGGAGGCCCAGGCAATGTCACTTCCGGTGCACTTCCGGTAACGTCAGCACCGTTTGGGATATGCTCTGGTATTAGGGCAAATATTCTATGGGAGAAGACATTTTTACCATAGAGTTTTTGCCCAAATACCAGAGCGTCCCCTGATGTTGCAGTGTACACACCAGAAATGACGTGGCCACATCACCGGTGACATTACCTTCCACTTCTGGTAAGTCCCCCCCCCCCATACCTCGCTGGTTGCTAGGAGGCATCTGGCAACTCTATTAACAGCATAAGTACAAAACATAAGTAAAATTCAAATATTCTATAAAGCAATTTAATGCACTCAGACACGAGCTGGGACTGCTGTTCTAGAAACACGTGCAATTCCCCCCTTGGGTGTTGGATTATGGCCAAAATATTGACTCTAACTTTTATAGCAAAGAACATACCTCGGTCAAAAGCCATTTTGACATCTTCAATCAGTTCGCTGAATCCAGACACTCTGTAGAGCCCTTCAGAATTGAGTCCTGTTCCGTTAAGAAACAACAGCAACAATGTTAGATTAAACAATATTTATCTTTCTGACCACCAGGATCTCTGCCAACAACTATGCATATAAATCCAAACAGGGTTTTTTAAACCTCATTTTTCATTCTAAACCAGATTTAACAGCAAGCCCTCACTCGTAAATAGGCAGCACTGTTATGATCAGTACCCAATCATTTTGTATATAAGCATATTTATGATAATGGACCCTAGAACATGGAAGATGTCACCAAATTGCAATGGAATTTAAAAACAAACCACTCGAATCAGTATATTTAAACTGATTTGCATACATCTAAATATCATAACAGCAATATTCTAGCACAAGTCATTATTACAGAGGAGGAAATACATAATTACTGGGGAGCCAAGCAACAAATGTTGTTTTACTGACTGTTTTTCACAAAAATATATGGGGAAGAAGAACATCTGTACAAACTAACATAGGAAAACACTCAATAGCAGGAAAACATATTATCCAGAAGCACTGCAAACAATATTTTGCATCCAGCAACACATTATTAGGGACTCAGCAGAGACATAACATTTGTGCATTAATGCAATGTTACACATTAATAGTTCAAGGAAAACAGGGTCTTTCAAACAATGCTTCTCTGACCTTCCATTCAGCTTAAACTTCAGTAGATCCAGGTTAATTAAAAGAATTATGAGCAAGGCAACCAAACTCAGGAAGCATGCCTTACCTCTAGATTCAATCTCCCTAATGCACATATCTACAACCATTGGCCTTTTTGTGAAGTGTGCTTTTACTAGCGTGGTCAGATCACAGCTGTATACTTTTTTGACATGCTTCAGGTCCGGCTTGCAGTCGTTGGGGACCATCTTGGAACACTGCTTGTGAACATTTAAGCCACAATCTGATGGAAATAGGTAAACAAACAAGCAAACAAACAGGTTATCTCAGGATTTAATGGTATGAGATGAGTATTTATATATATATATATATATATTATTTTATTTATTAAATGTCTACCCCGCCCTCCCGCCGAAGCGGCTCAGGGCGGCTTACAAGCAAGTTAAAACCAACATTCGGTTAAAACCAAGATTTACAAAATATAAAACACAGTTCCATAAAATCCCAGCTAATACACCCTGTGATAAAGTGCTAGTGCAACACCACCAGCGTAATCGGTTCTTATTGGAACGCCTGACGAAACAGCTCAGTTTTAACAGTTCTATGGAACTGCTGGCTCCACTGTGAAGACTCAAGCCCTGTGCTGGGTTGTCTGTGAGCTGACTCCCCATGCAGGGAGGGCGAACAGACCTGAGTATGTTGGCCCCGCCCTTTGTGCAATCTTCTGCACAGTGTGAACACACAGAGGAAGCACCTACATGCATACCCTAGTCCCTGTGATCCTCCCCCGCATGAGTCAATGTGCGGATGGGTAATCTGCGCATGGCTCAGAGGTTTCTGTGGGATTTGTTTGTACTAGCACATTTGTTTCCAGATTACTATAATTTATTGAAATACTTTGGTAATACAGACGGTTGGGTATCTATATGGATCTAAGTCCCCAATTGTTGGAGCAAACTGGGTCACCGATTTCTTTTTTTAAAAAAAAGAATTTTATTTCTTTTACATTTAACATAACATAATTCAACAACAGCAATAACATAGTCCATTTAAAAAAAACAACTTTGATATTAGTGCTTAAATACACTGATGTTTTTGTATGAATTTCTCATTCAAAGGTAAGACCACCCTGTTCCTTGGATTTTAAGTCTTAACAGCCTGTTCACAGAACAACTAAACCAAGAGAGTCTCTAAAACAATGCATATAACATGTATATACCATTGCAAATTAATTTTATAAAGAGACAGCAAAGATAACTATGAGACAGTTTAAGTAGCAGTAATTGCTTATGTCCTGATGCTATGACATAAGCAGATATCCGTCAGAAGGAGAACGGCCTCTAGTATCCCTGGGACCTGGGTTTGTGTGTGTGAAATACTGTCAAGTCACAGGCAACTTATGGAGACCCCAGCAAGGGGCTTTCAGGGCAAGTAAGAAGCAGAGATGGTTTGCCATTGCTTTCCTATGCAGAGTTTTCCTTTCTGATCTCCCGTCCAAGTACCAATCCTGCTCATCTTCCAAGAGGTAAAGACATCAAGCTATCCCATGTCCTCATCTCACCCCCAGGACTTGTATGCAACATAGGCATACACGAGCAATAGGATATGCAACCAAGAAATCAGAAGGAGACTGAGACTGGGAAGGGAAGCCATGAAGGAACTAGAAAAGATTCTTAAGTGTAAGGCTGTGTCACTGGTGACCAAGATCAAGCTAATTCATGCCATAATATTCCCCATTACTATGTATGGGTTTAGGAGTTGGACACTGAAGAAAGATGGCAGGAAAAAAGCTGATTCCTTTGAACTGTGGTGTTGGGAGGAGAGTTTTAAGGATGCTGTGGACCATAAAGGACAAATAAGTGGGTTCCAGATCAAATCAAGCCTCAACTCTCATCTAGAAGCGACAATGACCAAACGGAGGCTATCGTACTTCGGTCACATTACGAGAAGACAAGAGTCACTGGAAAAGGCAATAATGCTCAGGAAAGTTGAAGGCAGCAGGAAAAGACCCAGCACGAAATGCACTGACTCTATGGAAGCCACACCCCTTCGTTTGCAAGACCTGAGCAAGGCTGTTGATGCTAGGATATTTTGGAGGACACTGATTCATAGGGTCACCATGAGTCGGAAGTGATTTGACACCACTTGACACACACAGAGGAAATACTTACACAAATTCATGGAGGGTTTGTCTAGAATAGACAGATACATGGAGGAGATAGTTCAAGCCATGGTAGAAAATTGGAATCACCATGCTCAGGCAGTATTCCTTTGAGGTTGTCTCTGGGGACAAATAGTGTGAAAGAACTGTCATCTTATGCTCTGCTTGTTGGTTTCCCAGAGGTATCTAGTTTGCCATTTCTGGAAACCGTACTGAGGACTAGATGGGCCCTTGGTTTGACTGATGTGGGCTTCTTTTATTATATTCAAGTGCCGTCACTCCTAGAGGGAATTCATCTCAGCTCGTAAATCTGCCTCAGGCTATATACAGCGAAGTTTCCCAACAGTATGAGATCAGACAAACGTCACATTCCTTTGAGGAGCTTAGAGGAGTTTTCCTCCCATGTCGACTTCATGCCAGTGGCCATAAAATAGACTGAACAGTATGGTGGAGTGGTACGGGTGGCAGACTTAGAATCTGGAGGACCCAGATTTGAATCCCAACTCTGCCTTGGGCCAGTCACACACTCTCTCTCAGCCTCACAGAGCTTTTGTGATGTTAAAATGGAGGGGGGGGGGAATGATGTACACCATCCTGAGCTTCTTGGAGGAACGGCAGGATAAAAATGTATTAAATAAATAATCAACAAAGTTTATATGAGGAAAGTGTTAATGTCCGATTAGCCTCTCGGGGGAGATATTTTCCATCCGCGTTACCTCACATCCTCTTAATTGGAGATGATGAGGACTGGACCTTCTGCATACAAAGTGTGTGCTCTCCCCATTCAGCTATCGCCCCTCCTCTATTTTTCAAATGTCCTTGAATGCAAGCGCATAGCGGGAAACTAATTATCTTCATTCAGCATCTGCCTCCAAAACTAAGCAATTCTCTATCTAGTTTTTAGATGCTCTGGAATTCCACAAAGCATGGAGGGGGCGAAGATGACACTTGCATTTGATCCTATTAACAGATGTTGCTCCTTTTCCACACATGACATGGCAAGAGAGCTTCAGAATGTCGCAAAATAGATCTCCCCCCCAGATAACACCGAGTTGAAACGTCTCAGATAAGCTGTTCTTCCTCTATGCTAGGAAATTATGGGGAAAGACTTAATATCTGAGACCAGAAAATATCGATTCTAGCGTACTCCGCTGAAAGCTGAAATAATGAGCTTTCATTAATGCATGAGCAAACACCAAAACTGTAAGAGCTGTATATTAAAGGTGCCCCGAGAGGGCCCATTTCAAATATTTGCTGAGAGTACAATAAGCAGAGCTGTCACTTTCCCTTCTATTCCTGATTTGATTTTAGTCCACTCTAACCTTCATCTTGCGTCTAATTCACTGGGAAATATAGCTGCTGAGGCTGCTCTATTGACACAGCATCGTATGTCAGAGACAGGACACTCTTTTTTAAAAAAATAAGTTACGCAAGGGAAGGGGTATGTATTCTGTCACTTTTGAGAAACAGAAGAAATTAAAAAAAAACCAGATTTAAATGTTGCTTAAAAACAATAAAAAAACACCTAGTTTTACAGTAGCTGTGAGACCAAATATGGGAAACACGGGCAGGGAAAATGTACCTTACACAAGATAAGCTTCACATTTGACCCCTATGGAACCAATTCAGGGCAATTTTGGATTTGTGAGGACGACTCCAGCTGCGCCAGTCCTCAGTGCTCTCTGCTTTTCCTCATACCATTTTATCTTTACTAAAATGGGGAATCCCCATTATTTGGCGCTGAATGTTTAAGGCATTACTTCGCAAATATAATCAAGCCACAGAGCTTGATAACAGGCAAGTAGAGATTATTTATTTATATACATTTATATCCCCAACTTTCTCCACAACAGGGACATAAAGCTGCTTTGATCATTCTCCTGTCCACCATTTTTATCCTCACAACAATCCCGTGAGGTAGTTTAGATTGAGAGAGTGTGCCTGGCCCAAAGTCACCCAGAAAGCCTCCGTGGCAGAATGGGGTTTCAAACCTGAGTCTCCCAGATCCTAACAAGGACACCATATTGGCTTTTAAAAAGCCTCTTAGCTAAGAATTTTTGCAGCGAAGAATCTACAGCACGACTGGCCAGTCCATGGTATGTAGGCCATACAGTGGTAAGTATATTCAGCATATTTGGCTGGTTCTCCCTCCAAAAACAACAAAACTGGGGCCAAAATCAGTCCAATAACACACTCTTAAACATTAAATATGTATGCTCATACAATCAGTTTTATATTGATAATAGTATCTATGTATACAAAATATTAACAAGGTATACAACCTAACCATACAATATCCTAATGTTATACAATTACTAATATACTAACATACAGTAATACCACAGAATACCAATTGTTGCCAACAGCCAAAAACTACTAGTAGACTTTCAACATGTGCTGTTAACTGTTGGCAACAATTGGTATTCTGTGGCATGGTTTATGCCTGTTATTGCATCCCAAGATTTGTCAGAGCAATGAGGCAGGCCTGGGTCTCTGGCAGTGCTGACCGGGCTTGGCTTGCTCCCCGCGTAGCTGGCCGAACACGACTCTTGTCTTCCCCCCACACATTTGTGTTTGCCAGCCCACCAACATTTTCACAGATAGACGTTGGACTTTTTTGCCACTCTGACCAATACAGTTACCTATGTTCGGTCTATAACTTGGTCTGAGAGCAGGCAATTTTGGTTTAAATACATGAGCTTATGTAACACTTTCTCCTTTCAGCTCAAAGTGGTTGAGACTGTGGTGGCAATGGTTCCCACCCACCCTTGCAGAAAGACATTGCCCTTGCAGAAGACTACACTGGCCTTCGTATCCCTCCAAACTCAAGAGGGCCTTAGTAAGCACATGCTTTGCAGCTAGGGTTTACCAGCCATACCTAACTTGCAAGCAACTACTAGCCTCGGGCTTGTTGGGGAAGGAGCTGGCAATATATGGGCAACGAGCTAATTTCCCAGTTAAACTCTCTCACCAATAGCTTCTCATTTTTCCTCTGTACCAAGCACTCAGTGTTCTCTAAGACTCCCAGGAGCACAGCAGCAATGACTGATAGGTCCTCCTGTCTCCCCCATCCCCCCTTGGCACAAGGCATTTGGATTCATCTTATGCTGAACATGTAGTGG